CTATATACACTTTACATTGTCTACCAAATCTTCCCAGGGTAAGTTTTATAATAAAAAAAAGTCCACCAAATCTTCCCACTGTTTATGGTGGGACAAAAATACTATAGAAATAGACAAATAACTGATCTTTATTTAAATTTTTTTTTAGAATAATAAATAAACATATATATATACATATATATATAAAATTATAAAACAAACCAAACCCAAGTACTGAAACTGTTTAATATATTCTAGTCTTTAGTCTTATAGTTTTTGTTTTTTATTTTCAAATTAGAATCAAACTTATAAACGCAATCTGTGCCAACATGATTATGGGTATAAAAACATTAATGGTTCACAAAGACATGAAGCTCAAAACAATAGAGGCGGAACAGGGTGGAAGAAATTTGTTCTAGTTATCATGAAGCTTGCATTTGTTCAAGTATTTGGAAGTTATATATATAACAACCAGAAAGTGGAGGAGGAAATAAAAGTTATGTATAAATAGGAGCATGTGTAAACAATAATAATTTATAATAATAATTTTTAATTTTACATTAATTTCTTCACCAAATTATACTAATTATGTTTAATAATTATTACTGGAATAAAATACACATTCTTGCTGGATTGTAATTAAAGTCTTCCTTTATTACTGGTAGGATCAGAGCCTCAACTGGTGGCAACAACTGAACTTTGGAATGGGAAATATTATGACACAATGCATAATTCATGAAATTTTTAATTATGCATGATACAATTCATAATTTTGATAACATATATATATAGTAAGAATATACTTCACGTCACCAACTATATGTCTTGCGTCACAGATTATACCTGCGTCACAATTTGTTATGCTAATTATTAATAAATAAAAAGAAAAAACATATGTTAAATTAATAATAGCAAACATACAATATATTTTACAATGAATTATTTGTTTTCTTTTATAGTTATCCTAGTGGGTTTAGCTATTGATTACTTTGCTGACCATTTGGGTCATGTGATTTTATAGTATTGTGACACTAAAAATAGTGTGTCATTAATTTGAGATGATCAACAAGGGGAAATTTTTTAATAAATAAATTAGCAGTAATGATTTATCCTATTGGTTTTTTTTTTGGTAGGACAGACTCGAATGATTTTTTTTTTTTTTTGGAAAAACAATTTATTTATTTTTTGACAGAGTCCAAGGTGACAAAACATGAACATTGTTGTTTGGTTTGGTTTGGTTTGGTTTGGATCTCCTAAAGAGTATGTGTTAATAACTAACCAGAGGTACTTTTTTTTATTTGTATTGATATTTTTTGGTTATTATAAATATTTTAATTGGAAATCAAAATGCAGAGCAGATCATTGTTGGGTAATTACAAGATTTTCATTGATAATATTTTGCTTTAGTTATCCTAGTGGGTTTAGCTATTGATTACTTTGCTGACCGTTTGGGTCATGTGATTTTATAGTATTGTGACACCAAAAATAGTGTGTCATTAATTTGAGATGATCAACAAGGGGAAATTTTTTAATAAATAAATTAGCAGTAATGATAATGTTAATAAGTTTACCACAAGTGTAAGGGAAGGAAATGTGATTTATTAATCTCAACAGTTCATATAAAATATTGACAATGTAAAAGAT